TTGTACATCAAAAAGCAAGTAAGAAGGTCAAATAAAATCATAAATACCATAAGTGGGTCAGCTGATATCAAAATTCAACATAAAAAATACACAAATTATACCCCCGGTCCAAAATTTAAGTCTGTGCATAAAAACGCCAAAAAGGAGGTCTTAAGCAATAACAAAAGTAGGCTTTTTGATATCAAAATTCAAAATCAGAAATTAAACCCCCGTCCAAATTTCAAGTAGGTATATTAAAAAACGAGAAACTATGTCACATGATATCATTAATATCAAAATTAGTCAAAAATTTTTTAAATAAATAAAGAAGTGAAATGATTTTAATATATCAATAACAGCTCAACTGATACCAAAATTAAACTAGAACTGCCACTATCATGGCGTGAATACCCCCGCATACCACTTTGTCAGAATCAACAGTGGCCATTTAGAGCTCAAGGACAACCTCCCTGCCAAATCTGAGGTTACTAAGCCAGTGCATTGCTAAGTTATGTATTCTACATGCTTCAAATGTGAAAATGTCAAAATCAATACATTGCGGACAGGACATTCTTTCGCAATTGAGAAGAAAAGCTTTTTTTGTCAAGGCCCCTGTGACCTTGACCTTTGACCCAGTGACCTCAAAATCAATAGGGGTCACCTTATAGTCAAGATCAACATCCATGCCAAATATGAAGACTGTGGGTCAAAGGAATCTTACGTTAATGGGTGGACAAACTTTTTGAAGTCAAAGTCCCTATGACCTTGACCTTTGATCCAGTGACCTCAAAATCAAAAGGGGTCATCTACTAATCATGATCAACATCCATGCCAAATATGAAGACTGTGGGTCAAAGGAATCTAAAGTTATTTGGCAGACAAACTTTTTGAAGTCAAAGTCCCTGTGACCTTGACCTTTGACCTGGTGACCTCAAAATCAATAGGGGTCATCTACGAATCATGACTAACCTCCATACCAAATATGAAGACTGTGGGTCAAAGGAATCTTAAGTTATAGGGCGCACAAGCTTTTTGAAGTCAAGGCCCCTGTGACCTTGACCTTTGACCTGGTGACCTCAAAGTCAATAGGGGTCATCTACTTATCATGACTAGCCTCCATGCCAAATATGAAGACTGTGGGTCAAAGGAATCTTAAGTTATTGGGCGGACAAGCTTTTTGAAGTCAAGGCCCTTGTGACATTGACCTTTGACCTGGTGACCTCAAAGTCAATAGGGGTCATCTACTAATCATGACTAATCTTCAAGCCAAATATGAAGACTGTGGGTCAAAGGAATCTTAAGTTATTGGGCGGACAAGCTTTTTGAAGTCAAGGCACCTGTAACCTTGACCTTTGACCTGGTGACCTCAAAATCAATAGGAGTCATCTACTAATCATGACTAACCTCCATTCCAAATATGACGACTGTAGGTCAAAGGAATCTGAAGTTATTGGGCGGACAAGCTTTTTGAAGTCAAGGCCCCTGTGACCTTGACCTTTGACCTAGTGACCTCAAAATCAATAGGGGTCATCTACTAATCATGACTAACCTCCATGCTAAATATGACGACTGTAGGTCAAAGGAAATTTAAGTTATAGGGCGGACAAGCTTTTTGAAGTCAAGGCCCCTGTGACCTTGACCTTTGACCTAGTGACCTCAAAATCAATAGGGGTCATCTACTAATCATGACTAACCTCCATGCCAAATATGAACACTGTAGGTCAAAAGAATCTTAAGTTATTAAGCGGACAAGCTTTTTGAAGTCAAGGCCCCTGTGACCTTGACCTTTGACCTAGTGACCTCAAAATCAATAGGGGTCATCTACTAATCATGACTAACCTCCATGCCAAATATGACGACTGTAGGTCAAAGGAATCTTAAGTTATTGGGCGGACAATCTTTTTGAAGTCAAGGCCCCTGTGACCTTGACCTTTGACCTAGTGACCTCAAAATCAATAGGGGTCATCTACTAATCATGACTAACCTCCATGCCAAATATGAAGACTAAGGGTCAAAGGAATCTTAAGTTATTAGGCGGACAAGAAAAAACCGACGGACGGACGGCCGGACGGACGGACAGCCGGACGGACAAGCTGATTCCAGTATACCCCCTTACAACTTTGTTGTGCGGGGGTATAATTATACACATAAAACTACAGGTGCAACAGTGTGTCCCAAAATTTATTGAATTAGCTTTCTCCAAGTTTGAATCAAATATAAGAAAAAAATAAAAAAATAAGAAAATTACAACAATTTTTTAACAAAATTCAATAAAGAAAATTGAGCATTCAATCTCATCTTTGTTAGTAAAGTACAGGAAACAAATGAAATCTTGCTTTAGGCCTGATTTTATTTCCTGGGGGGAAAACTCTCTACACTGACCTATAAATGACCCTGCAGAAAAGATAAAGAAATTATTTCCAAATTATTGAGCTAAGTACTATTTCATGATTTTATTTCAAATTATTGTTACCTAGCTTTAAGGGTATATTATTATATGGTTGATTCCCGTGAAAGTGGTAACATAGAATGTCTCTTTTAATTAATAAACATGAATAATGTACGTAAACAGAATAAAAATGTCTTGAACAAAATATTATTTTGCTATTTTAAGTAGGGCTTTATCCTTTTATCAATAAGTTTGTGAATGCACCATTCGCTTTTAGGGGAATAAATTACCATATTTATTTTATACAAGCATTTTGAAAGTATAAATTTTAAAATTCAAACAATATTTTTTGCATCAGATATATAGCTTTATACAATTAAACAAGATTGCATTTGTGAAAAAATACTATAACACAACTCTAAATTATAATACCAGAAATATTTTTTTTACTATTCAAAAAAGTGCATATTTAGTAAAAAAAATATTAGTCAGGGTCTTTTTTTAGCATGTCAATTTGCAGATATATTTACTGTTCAGATATAAATCACATAGTGTAATAGTAAAAGTATTATTTCTTGACATTCTGAAGAAGATGTTTAATTTTATTTTGGCTTTAGAGACCCATAAAAGTGGCAAATCAAATTAATATGAGCAAATTTGATAAACGGCTACCTAAGAATGCTACAGACAAAGTTTGGTGATTGTCCATCAATTAGTTCAGTACAAAAATGTTTTAAGGTGTTCCTATTTTTAGCTATAGCAGCCCCCAAAATGGGTCAATTAAGTTAATATGAGCAAACTTGATAAAAGGCTACCTAAGAATGCTACAGACAAGGTTGGTGATCATCTATCTATTAGTTCAGTAGAAGAAGACATTTCTTTTTTTTTCTCTATTTTTAGTTTTAGCGGCCCCTAAAAGTGGACCAATCAAGTTAATATGAACACATTTGATAAAAGACTACCTAAGAAAGCTATAGACAAAGTTTAGTGATCATTTACCATCTAATTAAGTAGTAGAAGATGTTCTTTTCTATTTTTAGCTCTGTTTACCCCTAAAAGGGGCCAATTGAAATGACATGAGCAAAATTAAATGTGACTGTCACAAGAATGCTACAGAAAAAACTTGAGGTAAATCTGCCCAGTAGTTTCAGAGAAGAAGATGATTGATGACGACGGACGACTGACCATCCCCCTTTGATACAAATAGCTCACACTGAACCTCCGGTTCTGCTGAGCTAAAAAAAGCAGACACTTTTCAAAGCATCCATTCAAAAGTAAATGTAATGCCCACTATATCCCATAGCTATCAGACAAAGGCTGAATTATCATTTAAACAAATAATGTAAAATGAAGAAAAAAGAGGCAACTGCAATTCATAAATATTATTTATATTGATTATATTTAATGAAGGAAGTTTAACGGGAGAAAACAGTCTAAGGACTGATTCTTTGCGGAGTTTGTGTGTCTGCTACTGATATACTTCCTCTTAATGATATTGGGAATTCGATGAAGCCACGTTGTTTCTGGCCGATTTCACACAATCAGCTTCAAGTAGAGTACTATATCAACATGAAAGCCTTGATGCAGACGAGCATAATGCGGGACTGACTGAAATGATGTAATAGGCGAATGGAATGCGAAAACCATTGTTTGCGTAACACGATTCATTTTCGCAAAAAAAAATATATGAATAATTTTTTAACTCTTTTACCTGAAATTCAAAATACATTTCTTTTGCAGGATTACAGAGAACAAGTGTTTTGAGAAAATGAGGATCGCTGTCGTATTGTTTGAGCTATCTGCCTGAAAGTGAGTTTTTTCCTATATTAGGTTAGTTTTAATGTTTTGTTTTGTTATATTTTACTTTGAATTTACTTTCAAATAAATGTACAATTAAATAACTTAAAAGATCGTTACATCAAAACAGTAGAAAATAAAGGAAAAGAAATACGGGACAAAATTATTATATCAATTTAAGAAGCTTTTTTGATAACCTATTGTCAACAGGTTTTGTTCCTAAAATTATTACCAGTTACATCTTTGTGTATGTAAAATGAAAAATAATAAGAATGACTTCAATGTCGAATTAATTTTTTAAGATATAACCATCGCATACAGACACCTTATGCATACATAAGGTATTTTTCTCTACGCCATAAGTTGACCACTGAAAGTCGCATATCTTTCTTAGTCAGAAGTCATTTCATTTCTGCAGGTAGAAAACATCCAAAATACATGCTACAATTAGTGTTATAATAATAAACTTTGTCCGATATACACTTTGTGACCTATTGCATGTACTTTTAAACTTATTTAGTTTAACTATACATAATTCATTTTATTTCGATTGTGTAAGAAGCTATCAGATTATAGAATTCTAGTTTGAAAGCAACAAGGACTGAACAATAAGTGTAAAGTTTGTTTTTCTTCCTCAAGGAAACAACGGCTTGCTAATGATGTGGTTTGAACACACACGGAAAAAGATTACTGGTCCGACTCTTGAAACCCCGGCCAGGTCCCCACACAAAAATAATTTTAATGTTTTGTATTCCAGAATATGTGCAGCTTTTTACACTTGGTAACATTCTCAGTTGTGCTTACGTACACAGGTAAAATGACTTTTTAACAAAAACTTCCAATCTGTTGTTTTTTGTTTTGTTTTTTGTTGGTCTTGTTTTAGGTTTTACGTCACATCGACACAGTATAGGTCATATCGTGACGTTCCAGCTTTACTGGTGGAGGAAGACCTCAGGTGCCCTTCCGTACATTATTTCAGGCACGAACGGGCACCTGAGTAGAACCACCGAATATGTTAAATGATACTTCACAATAATATCATATAATATTATATAAATAATTTTTGCTTAACAATTCATGTGCTTTCTTTGCCAGAAACAGAATAATAATTATATCAATTTTAAAGAAATTTAAAACACTACAGAAAAACAAAATCGTTGTAAAGTGTTACAATTAAGATTATTAATTAATATTAATCCATATTTATAACACTTTATGATACTTGACATACTTAGTAATATGTAGTAATATGTATCCTTTCTTTTTATTAACAAAGTGCATACAAACTTTTTATTTATGCAGACGCAATATACACATTTTATCTCCTTATTTTGAGGACAATTTGCAAAAAAGAGAAAAGAACCGAAGGGTTGAATACCTTAAACATTTGGTGTATTGCTCTTGCCTTATATAGGATTCAAAACGATATACATGTAGTATTAAACAAACACGTGGCTAGCTCGATATGGACGAGTTTTTTTATCTTAATGTTTGTCGGCATTGCATATAAGACCGTACCAAGCATTCATGCTTTTTCGAGTAAACCATAAGTACATACATACATGATTGATCAAAACTGCCAATCATATACTCGCAATACCAAGTAATAGTTTTACAATCTAATCAGTATCTCGAAACTTTTTGGCGATATTTTTGAATTAAGGAATATCGGTTTGGACACATAATCAATGTCAACACTGCCAAATGTTTATAGGTCAAACTAGAAAATCTGAATATGCAATTAAGCAAATTATCTTCGGAATAAGATGAAATTCTTTTTATTGACATTCCGTAGTTTCTATCATAATATTGTTTACTTGTGAATAAAAGGTAAAAAGGCAAAAGTTATAGTTCTTCTGTTCCTTTTTGGGTCGATTGTGTACAATCGATGCAAAGGTATAACTACCCCTGTACAGGCAAACAATCGCAATTCCAAACAATCGAAACTCTGCCTTTCCATTTCACGAGATACGGTATTTTTGCACCGCACTAACGCACTATTTCTTATTGCCAACCGAATTTCGTTGACAAAGAAAATAGTTCCGTATGTTCGGTAACAAGTTAGAAAATAGATTCATGCATTGAATATAGAAGGGGTTGTCATACATTTCGAATTGTATTACATTATCGAAAATAACAATTTGGTTTAAATTTGTACTGTGCGCAGAAATTATATAAATGCGCGAGCGAGTGAATCACGTGACTGGCTTTTCAATGACGCCATTTTTATTCAACAGCCAGATTGAAACGCAGTTTCGACTCCGTTATTTGACACAGATATCAGAATATTTTGAAGAAATTGTAAGTATCGGATACTCATACAGAGAGTTTGACAATTATACCTCGATTAAACAAAATAAATTGTCCCAGAATGAGCATGGCGTGTGATTATTGAAGATTTGTTTCTGTGACAGAATATCATAATTTTCGAACGCAGACTACAGCATAAAAAGGGATGTTTAGTTCAGCTACATATGATGCTTTAAAATCCAAATAAATTGTGTATTTGACAATTGAAATAAAGATATCGTTTAGGCTACCGAAAATTTTAATAGAGTTAATAGAGGAATTGTGACTTTTTGTAAAAACTATTATATCAATGTATGTAACATTTAAGTACGAGGAGGTAATTTTCAACTCGGCCCCAAACCAACTCGGTCCGCAACAAAAAAGAAACCACTTTAGATTGTTTAGTTGAGGAACATCCAGCGGTAGATCACATATACTAAAAAATTGATAAGGTCTGTATGTTTTATTATCTTTGTTAAGATGAGATGTTTCAATGATTAATACAAAAAAATGAACTAGCCTAGCCTAAACATTTATGAACTGTAAATTGTTTCCTCGCACACTTTCATCAATAACAATATCAATATCAATTAGAAAAGGTCTATAAATTATAACATGAAAACGTTAAACAATGAAAGGTATGAACACATGAAACAAAGATAATTCAACATAGAGCAACAAAACTAGTTCCACTGCGGAATACCGTACTCCCGGATATTGCTCGATATTACGAGGACTTTCATCCCATTTCACGACTATGAACGAGGAACAAAGGTAAAAAGGCCACGAAATTTAGTCATTTTGAATTGGTTTGATATGATTTTATAGACAAACAAATACTTCGATAATTTCTCTAGTCACTGAAATATTGAGAAATAATTTTGAAATGTAATGGAAATGAGGTAAATTTGTCTCTTTGCTCACTTATAAATGAGCTCGGATCAGTCAAATTGAATGTTTTTGTGCATATAATTCCTTAAAAGAAATAAGTCAAATCGAATGAAATGTGATAACAGTGATTATCTTTATTTATGTGTTAATGTTCAATCAACAATAACATTTCAGATGACAGTGCATTTTGAGAATAAATAAACATGTCAGTTTACCGAGTATTGCTTTGTAGTTGCTCGCCGGTGTCACTAGTATTGCTTTTTAATGTAACGAGTATTGGTTATTAATATCAAGTAAATGTGAGAAGTAATCACAGAGTATTTACCACATTTAACCTTAAATATTTCTTATTGTGTATACTTATTGACATTATATATGCAGAATATGCAGAATTTGGAGGTACTGTACTGGAAGCATCTGCGAATAATACATAGGCAGTTAGATTTTCATTCCTGCTCATGAAACACTCAGCCAAACAAAGTCAGCACGTTTCTGTGGTGACAAAATTATCGTTCGAATCGAAGGATCAACCTTTTCAGAATTTATAAATTATTTGAAAGTGCATTGATGCTGCCTCAAGATTGTCATTATTAGCCGGTATTGAGCAAGTGGGCGAATATCTGATATCAACCCACTTGCTGCTACATGTATGTTAAAAATCCATATAAAAGTAATTTTTATGTTATTTTGCACCTGCATTCTTATTTCTAGCAACGGCAGACTGTCTGCATGTGAAATTTGTTACGTCATTAGCAATGAGTTATGACTGCCGAGCGGGTACTATAGTCTCAAACCGAATTGTGGATTTTGATAAAATTAAAATACAGGGCAGCAAATGCAATAAAAAGGTTATGATTCAGGGCAGGTATTCATTAGGACGATACCGGTATACTTGAACGGCATTAATTTCGGGCCAATATTTAAATAAGTGTGCCAATATCTTTCTTAAGGCACACTTTTGCTGTAAAAATCTATAATTAATGTCATCTAGATATGATTTTCTTCTTTTTAGAGATGGGTCTCCCTGAGACATGTATTTAAAGATTGTCATTGATGATTGTTCTACCAAGTACCCTGCCCCTGACAAAATTCAGGCGTTACTTCCAGGCCATCCTTATTAACACAAACTTCACTTCATTCATATTGTGATTTTTAATCAAATGGGAAATTAAATCTTTGTATTTGTCCGTAGAATAAGAACAGTAATAACAATGGAACATAAATATTTGAAAAAAATATCATACACTGTACATTATCTGCAAAACCATTGGCATAATCGATAAACAGACATAAAAAATGTGCTTATGTGCAATACTCATTACATTAAAAATCAATACTCGGTACACTTTCTTGTTGTTGTTTTTTTGGCCTGCATCTTTTTGTGCTCTCACACTTTTTGTCTGAAATTTGGACTAAGCATACTTGGATTATGAATTAAAAAATGCTCGATTCAATATTTTATTATATCTTGGTAATCTAATCATCTCTAATGATTATACAGTATCACAGTTATTATATTTTGCGAGCAGCCGATCGTTTAGGGGTAGTTTAATCAACTTTACAAATACCTGTAATACTTTGTTGTCTTTTAGAGCTACAAAAAGTACCTCTAGATATTAAAAACCTGTTGAGATAAATGAAATAGCCATTTTGAAAATATCGTTGCTGAACTTACTTTCGTTCCCTAATCAAAGTAGCGAACTGGGATGAAAGTCATCATAATATCGAGCAATATCCGGGGTACAGTTTACCACAGTGTGAGTGAGTTCCATCATTGAAAGATCTATCATAATTGACTGTTTGAAAAAACAGAAACTGCCAGGTCTAACTCATTTTAAATTCAAAATTGTTAAAGGTTTCAATAACTGTACTTTTGAAAATGGTTTTAGTTATTTGGCATAAACAGGAGGTCATGATAACGATTTAAAACTAGAAATGCCTCATAGTGATCATCATCTCATTGCATTTTCACTATGTGTAAAAAAAACATGGAATAATTTGCCAAAAATTGTAGTAGACTCAAAAAGTGTTCATGAATTTAAAATCAAGCTAGATCAACACTGAACCAGAGAAGTTCTATATAAAGTGTAAAATTATACAGTAGTGTAAACTGAAAAATAAATATGTTTGAGTGAATATAAATAAATATAATAGTGATGAGACCAATATGAAGTAATGGCGTAAGTTTGTTAAAAGACGAGGGGCTTAAAAAGGGCTAAGCCCTTCCATCAGAGCCCAGAAACACCTACAGGTATCTGACAGGTATAATGGAATGCAGAATAAAAAAATATAAAAGAATTAAAGTTAAATATTCAATCTTATTGGGAACTTTACCAGTAATGTTTAAGTTTAAGCCAAATTGGTATAGGGCCGGGCTCATCAGATGACCCAGGGGCTGAGTTACTTTTAGGGCTAAGTTGACTCGGACTGGTTAGAAAATTATGGTTATGCCAGTTTTGGTGTAAGAATAATCGTGACCAGAAATATCCTTGTATTTCCACATAGATATATAATAATTATAATTCAATACAAAATAGTTTTTTTCTTTCAAAGATCCTCATTTACATGCAAGTAATCGCAGTAAAGTCTAACCAAAATCTGGTTAGAAGTTTCTGGTGCGAAAAGTCCGTTATCCGAAATGTCCATGAATCAAACATTTGACAGGCGTCTGTTTTGTTCCAATAGTGGATTGAGTTGACCTGCTGTAGTTGGATATATAGCTGATTTGCCTACGATAACTATAAGTTGGAATGGTTTATTGTAACAATGATTTGAAAATTACATAACTGTTATAAGAAATGCATTTATTTCAGTGTGTTATATGACAGACTGTTGTGTGAGGTTTTGATTGTGACGTGGTTATTGTTTTATGAGAAGACGTAGTACTGTATGCTGTAAGTTCTGTTTAAATATTTTTAATTGTACAGGAAAGAAAGTAATTCAGAGCTTAGGTTTATACAGATTTTTTTTAGTATGATTGTGTAGAAAGCTATAAGCTTATAAGACACTTTTGAATCTATTTCCGGAAACAACTAGTACTAAAAATGAGTGTAGGGAAAACATGCCATATTTCCAGCTACCGAGATAGGAAGATTTGGCTTAAATTTAAAAAGAAGGATTTGGACCAAAAATAGGGGCATTTTAAGCAAGTGATACCAATCGTAAACTTAAAACTTTGCAAAGATATATAAATATATTTCCTCCATTTTATTATCAAAATGAGCATTTCTACAATATCATTTGATATTTTCAAATTTAAACAAAAATAAATGACAACTTAAGCATGTATCCGAAATGTGGTACATCCAAAATCCACATACTATTTTATACATGACCAAGGTGTTTGTTTCACCTGAGACCTCGGTACCTTGACCCATGAAACTTCTGAAATGCCCTTGTTTGACCGGTCATAACATCAGCTTGTGTGTCATGTTTGACCTGTGATAATTTCTGATGGATGCATGGAAATTTTATTGCTTGTCAATCAATAAGTGCTGACCCAGGAATTTTGCATTGACAAAGCAATTAGACTTGCCTACAGGTAAAGTAGTTGGACGAATAATCCGCATTAAAGTGGTTTATGCCAAATGGCAATCACTGACAGGTACACTCGCGGTTTGCATCTGATAGCGAGAAGTAAAACTGAGTTGTCCGTTAAATAATATACATGACATGTGTAGATAATAATTTTCATTAATTGGTAAACAATAGTAATTATATACGCGTGTCGATATGTCATACTTTGATATGATGATTGAACTGTGGAAATTGTAATTTTACCGATTAGTAGGAATGGACGTTTGAAGTATTTTTTGCAGGCACCTGTGGCTAATTTTAGCTTACTTACCGTTATGGTTAATTATCGATGCATTTCTTTAAGTATTGTTAAATCCTATTTTTCCTGCTGGTCATTTTTATTTCTAAAACAGAAAACAAGGTTTTTGTTCAAAATATGCAACTGTTGTGGTCAAGATTCTCAGCATATTTGAATTGTTGTCTATTTAGCATTCACATCACCAAGTTTGAACATATCTATTAATAATGAAAACCATTTGACTAAGCCTATAATTTAGGTAACTGGAAGTTACTGGAAGTAACTGGATTTACTGTATATTTGAAAATTATATGAGTGTTAAAGAAGAAATGCATTTATTTCAGGTATGTTATATGACAGACTGTTCAGGTTTTGATTGTGCCGTGGTTATTGTTTTATGAGAAGACGTAAAACTGTATGCTGTATGTTCTGTTTAAATATTTTTGGTACAGAAAGACACTTATTTACTGAGCTTTTAATAACATCCATTTCAGAACACATATTTGAAAAATAAAGTATTTAGATTAAAAATCATTTTTGTGTGCTGGTTTTGATATCTGATCATGTAGAATGAGACTGTTTTTTCCCCTAAATTTCAAATAAAATTGTTGATTGCTTATTTCAACCTTTACAAAGTCTGTTTTCACTAAGATGCAAATGTTTCAACCCATTATGCTGGTGTGACATCACCTCAGAAGTTATGTGAATTTATCCCTTGTGATTCTAATATTGGCAGTTAATGATTACAAAAAGTTTACCATTTCTTATGAAATCTAATTATGGTCAATATGTCTGTTGGAGGGTATATGTTGTGTCCAGTCCATAACTTTCTCATCCATCAATGGATTTTGAAAATACTTAACAAAATGTTATGAGATAATGTGTAGTGTGTAACATCCAGACCCCTACCTCCAAGCTCAAGGTCACATTTGGAGGTCAGTGCTTAACATTGGATGTTATAGGGTATATTTTGTGTCCATTCCATAACTTTTTAGCTCACCTGAGCTAGCTCAGGGTGAGCTTTAAGGACCATTGAATGTCCTTCGTACGTCATCCGTCCACATTTATTCGTTTACACTCTAGTGGTCACATTTAGGTCACATTTTTTGCCTCAATCATCAACAATCTTTATCAGGATGCTTGTCTTGGTAATTGTTGAGATGAGTTTAAACATGGATGAAAAAGTAGGTCACAGGAGTTAAAAATAGAAAAATCTTCTTAACACTGTAGTGGCTACTGTTTTGATCCAAATATCCTGGATATTGGTCTGAAAGTTTGTTTTGATAATTTCTATGTCAAGCTTAAATTTTGGTCACCCTGGGTCAAAAACTAGGTCACACTGCCCAAATGTGAAAAAACGTTGTTAACACTGTAGTGGTCACATTTTTGACTCAATTATCATCAAACGTGGTCAGGATACTTGTCTAGGTGATTGTTTGGATAAGTTCAAACATGGGTCATCTCGAATGAAAAAACTAGGTCACAGGAGCTAAAAATAAAAAAATCTTGTTAACACTCTAGTGGCTACTATTTTTATCCAAATATGCTTGGAAAGTGATTTGCAAGTTTGTGTTGATGATTTCTACGTCAAGTTTGAATATGAGTTACCTGGCGTCAAAAGCTAGTTTACACTGCCCAAATATAAAAAAAAAACTTTTTAACATTTTTAACACATGATTGTTTGCTGTATGAGATATAATTTTTATGTTAAATATGAAATGTAATTATTTCAGATGAGGATCACAGCCTTGTGTGTGAGGTTCTAAAAAACTAGGACTTGAGTCAGTTGATATGTTATTGACTGAAGTGCGATAAATATTTGATGTAAAATATGAGATTTTCATTTATTTCAGGTTTGTAATCGTAGACCTGTGTGTAGGTATGGTAATGACACATTCAGTTGTTTACAAAGTAACCTTGTAGACAGTATTCCTTTGCAAAGGTCAATAAGCTGCAAGAAAAAAATCATTTTATTTGAATAATAGTTTAAGTATTTACTTGAATCATGGTGTGTTTTGAAAATAATTTAATGACAAAATAATTTTTATATTGCTGTCTTTACATTACATATAATCTTACATTTATTAAAGTCGGACAGCATGAATGCGTACAAAGATTTTTTTTTGTTTAAATGAATGTTTTTTTTTTGTGTGTGGAATTTTTATCTATTTTGTAAGATAATTCAGTTTAAAATAAAGAATATATGATCTCTTGCATGTGAACATAATTTCATATCTTGGAAATGAGCTTAGAATTGAATTTATATATATTTCATAGAATTGAACTTACATAGATATCATTGATTTGAACATGGAATTGAACATGGAATTGAACATATCTTGGAATTGAATTGATATATATCATGGATTGGAATATGAAATTAAACATGGAATGGAACATATCTTGGAACTGAATTTATATTATATCATGGAATTGAACTTGTATATTTTTCATCACACTAATTTTTAATTCCTAACTTACTCACATGCCAATGAAAAGTTTGTTTTTTTTCCTGTTTATTACAATGGTTGCTATTTTTTTTGAACCCATCTTTTACTTAAACTGTACTGGAGTACTGAATAAAATAGCTAAAACAAATAAAAATCTTGTCAATACTTTTAAGTTTTTCCCAGTTTAAGAATACTTTGTGTAGATTCCATTACATAATAATAATATAAAAGGTATCAATTCAAAAAGAAAAATCTTTTAATGCACCAACCCCTGACCACTAGAATTTGTGAAATTGATGTTTCTACCCCTGCCTAAATAATGCACTCTTGTTCATTTAAACCATCTTCTAGTTAAGCGATTAAGGGCCATAATATTCTTCTTGATTCTCAAAATTATCAATAAAGCACTTAGTTCGTGACTTCACTCCTTGAATAGGCCCTTGGCAGTTTATCATTTGTACAGATAAAATGATTAAATGGAATAAATTTCTTGTTTGAATACTGAATAATGCGTATGATTTTTATTTCCAGTGTCTTCAGTCTTATTACTGTTCGGTAATATGGGGTTGTACAAAACAAGTGATGGTAATCTTGCAGCCAAAGTAGATCAGTCTGCAGTTAGTTTCAGCAGCATATTTTGATGAAGGTTCAGCCATGACATTGAAGCATAATATTTGGTGAATTATGTAGGCCATAAGGTGATTTATTTAATTACAGATGCTATGCAAATGATCTGTAAGGAAGAAGATATATATTGAAGGAAAAGTCATTCAGGTTTGTCATTATAAAATTCTAATCAGAATTGTTTATTTAAATGTTAGTAAACTTTTTCTAAATCACATTTTGTTTATACAGATTTATTTTAGCTTGATTGTGTTGGAAGCTGTAAGCTAATTGAAACATTCTCAAATCATTTCCTGGAACTAACCAGTATTCAGCAATGAATGTATAGTTTCTTGCTCAAGGAAACAACGGCTCACTAGACCGACTGGTTAACCACACAGCCACATGGTTACATCAAAAATCATTTTTGATGGTCACCATCCAACTTTAACTGAGGAAAATCTCTTTAAATATTTTAGGTTCATGTTTTGCTTGCTTTGCAAGATTTATCTTTATAAAACTACTTATTCAATTCCAATGCATTTTGAGAAAACGACAAAAAATGTTATTATATATAGTGCCGTGTTAACATTTCATTGCAACAATACATAAACTTCCTTTTTCAAGAAATATGGATGAAGAGACTGCAATCTCCACAGACGTTGACAGAGATTATTTCTTCAGAATTATCAACCATTCTTGACTATAAATTGACTTCTCTTATGTTTATTTTTATATTTGGTAATATTTACATTTTTTCTCAAATTCATTTATTTTGTTAATATAATGCAACAGAATTTTGAATTTTTCTCAATTTTGCTTGAACTTCATTATATATGAATAGATTGTCTGCAAACTTGGGCACAGCAGTCCATCAGAAAAAAAACATCAAGGAAGGTTTATTTGAACTTTACCTTTAAACAACCTTGCTATCAAGGACATATTATTACATATATCCGTCCCCTTATTTGTCTGGGACATAACTGTGAAACAACAAGAGGTATCAACATGAAACTTTGTAAGTATATAAATCGCATTTAGTCAATGTACATTGCTTAATAACTGTAACTCTGCCTTTCCTAATTTTGGAGTTATTGCCCTTTGTTCTTTTTTCACTTTGAACTTTGTCCGGGACATAGCTCTGAAACCAAAAGAGGTATCAACAAGAAACTTTGTAGGTAGATAGATCTCAATAAATAAAATGGCAGTGCAAAAGAGCTGTAATGCTTTATTTTAAAGTTATTGTTCTTTGTTCATTTTCATACTTCAAAAATGTCCAGGACATAGCTCGGACATATAAAGAGATATGAACAAGACACTGGTAGATAGGTGTCATTACATTTCCTGTCTTTGCCCATTCAAGCTATTTTCTCGTCTGTTGACACAAATCACAAACATTAAGCTTTTGCTATAGGGTCTTTCTGCAAACGGAGGATGAAACCATCTCCATTCCATTCCATTTTCACACAAATTGGCTACTTAGGTAAAACCTCTTTCTGTGTAAACAAAATACATTTTACCTAAAATGAAATTCTGTTTTTTTTTCCATTTTGAGCTGATTAAGTGTTATCACTCAGAAACATTTTTCACAGCAAAATTACATGAAAATGGCGATTCGGTTTGATTGAGTCTGCACATGATTGATAAAGTTCAACATCCCTCACGTCCCTAGCACCGGCTTTAGTGGTACTCATTTTTCAACACTTAAACAGTGCTGAAATCATTGAACACGAAGGTCAAGAAAAATATAGCAACATTGAACTGAAGTACTGGGTAACTTTTTAAAGCTGCCACACAATATTTGACGCCTGCTGTTGTGAAGTATGAATATGAGGATAAAGTGTGATCCCTCGGAAGCATTAATCAGACACAAATTACATGAAAATAAGATACTCGGATAAAGGTTAGTGTGTATTCGGCAAAACTTCATGAGGGTTATTTATATGAGATTTGTTAGCATTAAGATGTCGTTTCCTGCATTTGATTATTGTGTACAAATATTTCATTTGTCTTGACAGATTATCCTATTAAACCGATGATTTTAATCGTTAATGATATTTTGAAGATTGTTAAATCATAAATTGCCATATGTGTCTCAATTATTGATGTCTATGCTTGAATTTGTTGGAACAAATGTGTCATCTTTCGATCGGCCATGATTTTCAATCAAATCATCTAGCTCTTTACTGTCATCGCATCCATATATTTTCTGCTCATTTGTTATGAGTAATGCATTTAATGTATGTACTTCTTTAAATAAAAATCTTCTTTGATATATAAACAAGTTTTTAAATAAACAATATTAAAGCTTGCGTTTATAGTTTAAGATGCATGCGTTGGTTCTATGAAACACTCATCAATCAAACGTCTTATACTTTGTTTCTTTAAAAAGTAATAATTTGGAAGGGTTGAAATAAAATGTTGTTAAATAGTTGCTGTATATTAAGTTTATTGGCCATAATGCATTACATATTAATCCACCCATGGTCGTATGACTTGGAAGTTTTTTTAAATTTACACCCGTAAAATAAACACAGTGCATACATAGGTCATTTTTCTGCTAGATCCATTACCTTACATAAGTAAGCACCTGTCTGCGCAGCAGTGTTGGTTCGGGTATGATATCGGTGGTGCGAGCTTAGGTTTCAACCTTCAATATATATGTAAAATATCCTCCCAAGCGGATATGAGTCCAACTCAAAGCTAAGACATAGAGCAAGTATCTTTTTCCATAGAGTGAGCTTTTACTGGCGTTTTGTTTCATATGACACCATCACGCAGCTCTTCATACAGTTCTTAACATAGTTCATATTTTTATTTTTATGAATCATTAAATATATATACATGTAATTCAGCATGCACATGTATATGTCTGTTCTCATTGTATTTCGGCAAAGACGGCACAGTCCGATAATTACTTTTTTTACCCTGATGTAATCGATGATAATTGCTTTTTATGATCAAAATAGATCAAACAAAACAACACAAAAAAGCTTAAAAAGATATTTTTAGCTTGTGCATGATTACAAACAGAAATAAGTATCACGATTATAATAGTCTTCATGTAACCATATGATTTGATATTAATTCAGGCGCAAACGTTGTGATTCAGAAAACGGACAGTTCAGGTAATGAACATGCTTGCTCATGTGGTAGAAGTCTAACGTTAACTTGTACGTTGGAAGAGCAAAAATTTGCTGTGGCATGGATGAATGCGAACGATATAACACCAATTGCACAATGTGTCAAACAATCATGCAAATTAAATCCCGCTTATTTAGGACAGTACACGTTCTCATCTGATGCGGACCGGAATATTTTCAATTTGACGATAATAAAAGTGACTAAGAAAGACGATGGAAGAAAATTGGTGTGTTCTGATGGATCAAATATCGATTCTATAATTTTAAGAGTCATAGGTGAGTACAAAAACTACATAAATGTATCTTATTATTCACAAATCCTATTCTATTTTTAGTTTTGTAATTAAAAAACACTTATATCGTCAGAAAGCTTCCTAAATATCATTTATTTTACATTTAGCGTATTATGAAACATATATAAGTGAAATTTGCTATCGCCGCGGTCAATATATCATTTGCCGGTGAATATCATATCATTTTCAAAGACTCAATATTCAATATGTATAATATTTATCTGAAGCATACTTACTCTATATAATTAAAGGAACAATGTTAATTACCCTAGTTTATATCAAACGCTTGTAACTGTCAAGGGATTATGTTTTAATTCCTTATTATACATTTGTATTCTTGTATTTGATAATGTTATTCAGTCATGCTAGTTGTACCTCTGAAAAATAGCCCATACATTTAGGTTTGCAGACCATGCCAGACTAACAGGGCACATCGGATGCATTGCCATTAGATATTCCCAATATTTTTTTTTATTTACTTGACAACAAAGAAGTAGTCGAAGTGCCTGTGACAATAAGAATAGCCCAATTTTAATGTTCATCACCGCCTCATAATGATAATAATAGTAATAATAGAATATGTGTTTTAGATTATGAGCCTCAGCTTTTTGAAGATACAAAGAACGGGACTATAATGGCGATGTCTGGATGTGTTTCTCAAAACAGGAATGTTACTTTTAAATGGATTCTAGTAGATGTATGTTCATTGACATTTTTCATCATGAAACATTATTTCTAATACTTTTTAATATAATATTTTCCCTTTTAACGTTTTACGTTGCTTTAACACTTTAAAGGCCATAATTATGTAGACTTTTCAGGTTAACTGGTACAGAAAAACTTCAGGTGACCCTCCGTGTAGTATATAATGCAAAAAGGCACCTGGGTAGAATCACCGACGCTCTGTCAGCTTGATTGAAAGCTTCATCTCATGACATCATCTAATGTACCTGGCTGGGAAAATCCTCGGCCATGACAATTCGGCCACTGACTTCGATTCTGATAACATTGATACAAAGTAATACAAAGCATCATTCAAGATCCCGTTTTAAAGAAACACATGGTTCAGGAATTTAAGAGAGTTTTTATCATTTTATAATTTCTTATGTAAAAGATAAGTTTAAACTGTTTTCTTTAAATCATAGACTATAAGTAAATTGTCAGCTAATCTATCATTATTGACAATGATTGTTTCAAATAGGAAATGTCCCGTTTTTTAGCATAATTGTAGTGTTTAAAAAGCTAATATAAATATGTACTAAAATGTTTTTATTTGATTTGTGATAAACTTTGCTTTAATTCGTTTAATTCATTGTTTATGAAATTCCAGAACTAGACGAATACATACATTGTTCACACACGCACGCGAACACAAGAACATAAATGCAAACATACATATATCCTGCTTCAGTACGGATTTTTAAAGTTTTACTTTTCACCAAACTTGACTTCAAGGTGCTTACGCCTTCACGCAATACTATTATAAGAAAGATCAATTTCTTAATATCGGGTAATTGACCTTATAATTTAATGTTGACACTTCTGCTTTCGTTTACAAATTATGACGCCCCCTTCATATATTATTATTTCTTTTAGGTCGATAGTCAATTGGAAAAAGTCATACAACCCCAAATCCTTGACGCAAATATGACAAGTTGTTTAAATAATTCTGATTGCACTCATAATGACAAAGTTCAGTACACAGAGACTATTTACGCCAGAGCTAGTAATTATGGAAATTGCTATGTGAAAGTCGCAGCTTTTTACGGGAATGAACGTAAAGAGACACCTAATACTGCTGTGAAATACTTATTTGAAGAACAGGGTAGATATTTCTGTCCACAAATCTTGTTTTATTATAGTTTTGTTCTATTGATTATTGATTAAATCAAATGACTGCCATTATTTTAAAGCAGAGTTCCATTCGGAATTCACTTATGAGCGCAAGTGCACTACAACATTGAATGAGAGTAATTCTAGCCTGGGTTCCACTCTGTCGATTTTTCAGCAAATCGAAAGCCTTGGGAAATACAGTTTCGATCGAAGCGCCACCTAGTTTTCACCCGAAAATTAAGGGTGTAATTTAAAGAACGATAACTCAAGCAACCACAAACTAGTTTCTAAAAATAGAAACGGAATTTCAACGAAGTGACCCGAAACTCAACGAACAGTCACGGAGCCTCGCTTTCAAAACACCATTTCCAATTAAAAATTAAGAGTTTTGACACTCGTAAACAAAGTTTATTGCATAATGAGTGAATTTAATCAACATTTTTGATAAGTTAAAGACTTAATCCGTGTAGATGAAGTCTGGGAGCATCAGAGAAATGAGCTGGACGCATTTTATAATAGTATATGGCGTCAAAAAATCATTCACCATCTTCGCCTCGATTTCGATTTAGTCATGTGATTTGTTGGTCACGTGCTAATCGGTCTATTAATATGTTTATCATTAGTCGATAATTACATGGGAAACCCCGCAGTTTTCCCCAGGCGTTGATATTATCAAAACACGATCGAGTATGAAAAAGCGCGTATGTTATGAATAGGCCAAAAATATCAACCCCTGAATTCCAGGCTAGAGTTATTCTTACAAAAGTGACAATGTTGCTTGAAGCTTTTTTTATTTCTGCTTAGTATGCAAAATGTTACAGTTCAGTTTCAAAAGCTGATACAAACTAAACGTCATTAAAGAAAGCTTAGTTTGTATTATCTATACATGTATGCCATTAGTTTAGTTTTTTATTACGTCACATAAGTGCACATCAATTGTATGTTTTTACAGCTAACTTAAGCACAATATGTAAAATTTTATGATCGCTACTGAATCTGTATACAAGTCTCACTCTTGTAACATCTAGGAACAGCAGACCAAATGAGTTAGAATACAAGCCCCAGCCGTGTGTGAAATAGGCTCAATAGATCAACTCAATCTCTTACAAGCCAAAGTCAGGCGTGATCTTAGCCCTGTAGAATTTCATTCTGTACACAAGTCCCAGTCTTGAGAGATCTAGAGTCTGTATATAAACTCAATTAGTATACAAGCCCTAGTCTTGTCTGATCTAGACCCTGAAGATGATTTTAGTTAGTAAACAACCTCGGTTTTATATTGTCCAGACCTAGTAGACCAACCCATCAGAACATAAAGCTAAGTCTTGTGTGATCTAGGCCTAGTTATCTAACTAAACGAGTATAAAAGTAGTCCCGTTCTTATGTGATCTAGGCGGCCTGGTAGACTCACTCGTTTAGAATACAAGCTTCAGTCTTGTGTGATCTAGGTCAAGTAATTCAACTCAATTAGTGTACAAGCCCAAGTCTCGTGTGACCTAGGCCGTGTAGACCAACTCATATAGTAAACATTCCCAGCCTGTGGTCAAGGCCGTTTTTAACAACTCAATCAGAATACAAGTCGAAGTCTTATGTTTTCAAGGCCGAGTATACCGACTCTGTTAGAATACAAGCCCATATCTTGTGAGATCTAGGGTCTGTATACCAATTCAATCAGTATTCAAACATGAGTCTAGTGTAACCTAAGCCCAAAAGACCAATTCAATCAGAAAACAAGCCCAAGTGTTGTGGTGTTCGGCCCAGTTGACCAAATCAAACAGTATACAAGTCCCAATCTTGTGTAATCTATGCCCTGTAGACCAAATCAATCAATTTAATACAAGAGCAAGTTGTGTGTGATCTACACCAACTAAATAAATACAAGATATGTTTAGTGTGATCTAGGCCAAGTAAACGGACTGAAACGGAAGCACTAGTATTTTGTGATTAAGGCACTATAGATCAACTCAGGTCAAAGTCTTTTGTGATCTAGGCCCTGTACACAAACTCAATCAGTAAACAAGCCCCTTTCTTGTATAACGTAGGTCAACTCAGTGAGTATACAAGCCATGGTTTGGTTTTATCTAGACTATGCAGACAAAGTAAATTTGAACTCAGAGGTCAAAAGGTTAGAACATTTTAAAGATTTGCTATGCGGAATGAGATCAGTCTTAACCTGGAATACATTGGCGTCATTCCAAGAATTCTTTAACAAATAGGATCGGTAATACAGAGAGTTATCAAAAAGGTAAAAAGAGGTGGTCATTTTATGGTAAAATATTTTAAATCTGTTTCCATAGCAACCAGTGACTTTCTTAACACAGTTACTTTTGAAATCATTTGTAACCATTTACTTCAAATAGTAACCAGTGGTTGTTTTAGCAAATATGCCCTTTCCACGATAGCCATACAGCCTTGAATTTGTATTTGTCTAGATTGTGGCCCTATAATTATTTTTCATTCTTATTCACGGCTCTCTTGTCTATTTGAGTATCGATAACTTTTAGCATCCACCCAGCAACTAAATGAAGTTAACAACAAATGAATACTGGTAAAACAAATCGAGGTATTAAAGAACTATAGATGTAAAATTGCAAGAAAGAAGAATAAGTAAAGATACATTAATGAAAATATAAATTAAATTTTAGATAATAAAAGTTCAAATGGTCCTAACAGTGCAATTGTCGCTGGAGCGGTTATTGGCGTTATTGGATTTGTGTTTGCTATACTCATTTGTTTCTACAAAAGACATAAAACAAAGTGAGTTTACAGTCAATTTATTGACATAGATCTTAATTAAACAGTAAAAACGAGAAAGCAAGTGAAGAAAACAATAATTACTTAAACAAAGAAATGCAATTACAAATTGCTAATCTTAATTCAAAGTATGTAAATTTCCTTTCGAAATGTATCCTATGCTTTAAATGAGATATTGCACTTCTTTTTAATTCTCAAATTTTTAGGAACCTTTTGTTCTATTTTTCATAAATCATCGTTATTACATAGCAAATTTATTTATTGTAAGCGATGGATATAGAAAAAGATTTATGATGGTAATTTTACTATATGTTTATGTGAAACTCTTGTCTAATAATATGCTGGATTATGTGAGAATTTGGACTTGTTGTTGTCTCAATGATTAAATTGTTTTCAAGAACCTCAAGTTGTTTTGATTCTTAGTTCTTATAACATACACGGAATGTCAACTTATTGTTAGAGAAGGTGTGTTTTCCGTTGCTATTTGAGTTTTGTTTACAATTTCTGAGAATTGTATGCTAACCTAATGAGATTTATTAATCAGAAAAAGTGAGGTATAGATGTAAAATGCCGTAGTCAATTTACATATAAATTTATACGTATAATGTTAAAACTTGTTATGAAGCTTACAACAATAAAATTAAACAAGTCAAGTGTAAAACTTTGTACCCTACCG